GTAAGATCTCTACACTAAACATTGAAAAGTTACCAACATATGTATATTTAAAAAAAAGTACTCGATTCTCAAAATTACTCGATACTCCCAACACTAATAATTACACTGGGTCATAAATTTTAGTTTGGTTTTTGTTCTCCAGACGCCACTATCCAATTTCTATGTAGAATTGCTCGGTGATTCCGAAAATCGGAATATTTTTTTTTCTATGGATACGATTTCGAGATATTTGCAACTTACCGTTATTCAGCTTAAAGCAAAAATTGGTGCCTTTTAATCACGTACATCTTACGAACCGATTTCTTAATATAAAATAAGGCAAATGAAAGCTAATGAAATCGATTTTCTTCAATAGTAACTTGATTTTTGTTTTTTTTTTTTGTAACAGAACAGGGTTTAGCACAAATGCGAAAATTTGGCACAGAACCTGTTATTTTGTAAATTTTTCTTCTGTAAAAGTTTTTGATCACAAATCAGGCAGGTTCTGCGATTCACTTCCGAATGAATTTCAATCAAATGCGCATTGTATTCAAATTGGCAGGGGTTGAAATTCACCCGGAAGTGAATTTTAGAACCTGCCCGAGTGTTTTTTTTTTTGTGTGTTTTAAATCAACGTGAAAGCTCTCATCGACGGACGCTATCATAAGCGGACATCTCCTATAAGCGGACACATTCTTGGGAACGAAAAATTTTTGGTTTTTTTTTTTTCATTCCCAATGCTCTCCCATACACGGACTTTCCAATAAACGGACGCGGACTCTCAAACATGTCTAGCTATGAAAAAAAGCGGGCAATGAGATTTGTCGGTAGGAAAGAAAACGCCATAAATTTGAATTTATCTTTAATTCATTCTGTTTCTGTCTATTAAAGAATAAAAATTCCGCCTTATCCTGAGTTTCGCCCCAAAAAAAACTCACCGAAAATGTGTATTTCGCCCATAGTAAATACATGGAAACCAAAAGTGAAAAGTGAACCGGTTCGGGGAAAATGAAACTCATCATAAGGCTGAAAGCCCGAAATTAAAATTTTTTAAATATGAATTTTTCTTTTATTTTTTACGAAAAAAAAACACGACAAAAAGTAGGTGGCCATCGGCGTCCGCTTATGGGAGCTTTCACTGTAATTGAAAGTCTACTTTGAAATAAATGCAGTGGGTAAATGTTTCGAATTTTGATACTCTATTTACTCAAAGAAACATCTTCCATCGGGGTTTTATTATGTTTCACCTGTGTGTAATCAAATCTTGCAATCAATTCTAGCTCAGAATCCGATGACAATGCAATATGAAAGATGAATTAATCTGCTAAGTGGCTAGGTGTCGGGATATTCGAAAATTCTTAAATAATTATGGCAGGGATGCAAACGGTTCTTTACACATCGAAAATATCGGTCTGAAATTCGATGTTCGCCATCGATATTCAATAACTTTTAACATCGCTAAATTCACGATACATCGATGTTAATTTCAACGATGTTTTAAACATCGACTTCGGTGTAATTCTCAACCTTGTCTTGGATTAAACTTATCCATAATTTAAAAACAAATAATTTTATACTGATCATGAATTTTAAATTATTCATTCTTTGGGAGAACATTGAGAAATTTCGAACTTAGCGTCCAGTATGGAAAATGCTAACATAACTACATATTAAAAATACATGTATATTATGTAATAATAGATTCGCTAAACTTAAGATCTTCAATCAAACTGATAATGTTGGCAGTACATCAATCGTAGCATCTCTCACTTGTAAAAAATTTGCCTCCTACATATTAAGTAATTAATTGGGGTCAGAGTTTTGAGCCAATAAAATACATTCAAACAATTCCATGTACGTTTTAATATCCTTCTTCCATCTGACTTTGTTTCAGCGGCCATATTCAACATGGAACTGCGAAAAAGTTTCACAAAACTCTAGACTCTAGAGAGTTGGGACATAAAAAATTCTTTGTTTATGTTTATACTAGCGCCCCAAATTTCAATCCGTTGGTTTTGAAATCATACTCACCGTAGAAAATGTATTTTCTTCCTTCAGTTCATAAGAGGATGTTTTTTTTTTTTTCTTTGTAAGGGACATGTATTTTTCATATTGAAGAAAAGCACAAATCCCTTTTTCCACGTAATCGGTTTATACGAAAAGTTATCGTATTTGCGTATTTCAAAACTTGATTCCCTTTTTTTTAATTTTTTTCATTGCCCGGGCCCCTGACATTCGGCGCGGCCCGAGACAAGTGACCATTTCGACCTCCCTCGCAACGGGCCTGAATATGACTACAAATGAGAACGAAGAAGATTTTATAGCTATACTTGTGCTATAAAACGTACTCAACGTACCGGATTAGATAAGCGCGTACATACCTACCATCACAGGTTTCACAATGCTGCACTATTTATACATACACTGGTGGAAGAAATAATAGAAACTTTTAATTTTACCAGCTTTCACAATATTTCTTCTTTTTATTTAAGGTTTAATATTTTTTTTTGTCTAGTGTATTATTTTTAATATTTTCTTTTGCTGACGATGCTTGCATGTTCTTCCATAAAAGTAATGGAAGAAAATGCAAAACTGTGTAGGCCAAATTTTCAAAAATTCTGAGTAAAATGTTTGAAATTTTTGGGGATTTTGGAGAAAATTTTCTGGACTTTTATGATTTTTGCACAAAGTTTGAAATGCTATATAAATCCGCTCTTGTTATATAACATAGGCCAACAAAACTTAAACAATGTTATGTTGACTAAAATATTACCGCCAATTCTATAGTTTTTTCTGTAGAATCCGATTCTGGCCCTAAAGATATTAGATTGCTCTATTTTACAGGCAACTTAGGTTTAAAGGTGCCGAAAACGCATTTTTGGGCATTTTTAAGCCTCTGTAAAACAATAAATTGATACAAAATATCTGTCAGTGTGTGAGGATATGAAAGCCCAAGCACTGCGCTTTAATACTCAAAATCAAAAAATTATGGTTAAACGGTTAACGGCCTTTATCCACATACTGCAGAAGTTCCAGTACCAATCTGTTTAGTACAACTCGAGGTTTCATGGATTAATCACCAAATACCGATGGACACAGACTCTAGAAGTGGAAATGAAGATCAGAACACCGTTAAGCCCAAGTTACTTGAAAACTATAGCCAAATAAAAATTTTCAATACCAGATGCCGGCTCTACGGAAAAAATCCTATAAGGATCGAATGTAAGATTTTAGTCAACATAAATTTTGTTGCCACATACTATGTTCTCTTAGATGAAGGTTTCAACTTAAATTTTAGCCTCATTAGAAATTTTCTGCGCCTCAGATTCATTTAACGCAAGTGATCGAAACAAGAGTTAAAAAAATCGTTTGTTCTCGTATAAAAAAAAATGTTTCCAATTGCTTTTTGTTTGGACCATAATTTTTTGATTTTGAATATTAAGTGGCAGAGTTTAGGTTGAAAGATATACTGCAGCAATTTATTGTTTTACAGAGGCTCGAAAATGTCCAAAAACGCGTTTTTGGCCCGTTTAAACCGAAGTTGTTCGAAAACTAGAGCCAATCCTATACCTTTACGTTCAGATTCGGATTCTACGGGGAAAAATCCTATACGAATTGGCTACAATATTTTAGTCAACAGAATTTTGTTGGGCAGTGTAATGCGCTGGACTTTTATAAAAGCAAAGTATTTAACATCATATAACCAAAAGAAACATCCAAATCTAGTCAAAATCAAGAGTTTATATTATTTCTTCCAACATTGTATATACAGTCAGTGTCAAAAATATGAATACCCTCCTGACGTTTTGACCATTTTCTTTATTTTCATTTTCCATACCATTTTTTTATATATTTTTTTTTTTTTGTTATAAAAATATAGTTCAAAAAACCAGCAGAATGAATTTCTTCCAGTTCATATAGAGCTCGGGGAAAATTCAAGAAAAACCAAAAAAATTTACAACTTTTCAATTCGATTTCTTATAAAAATTTTGAGTACGCAGATTTGTAGCCAATTAAATTTTAGTATAATAAGGTCAAAGTTTCAATTCTATAAAAATTACCGTTGATTTTTGAGAAGTTGTTTTTTCTTCCACAAAAAAAAATTGATCTTGTTCATGCGTTATATGGAAAAACAGCGCAATGGAATTGAAAAGTTGAAAATTTTGATGACAACTGTTTTGGTGTTACTCGAATTTTCCCCGAGTTCTATATGAAATTGACAAAAAAAAAAACACGGATTCTGCTTTCCCTGTTGAATCAACTATATTTTTATAAAAAAAATACGAAAAATTTGGCATGGAAAATATAAATAAAGAAGTGGCACGTTATTCATACTTTTGACCTTGATTGTACGTACTTACGCATCTATGTATACTGAAGACAGTTAACACATTTAAAAATTTTGATTTTTAGCATTTTTATTTGTAGTTTATTTTTATCAATACCTTAATACTACCAGAATTTTTAAATTGATTTTTGAGTTTAAAATTTAAATTGTATTTTAAACATAGAAATTTACCAAAAAAAAAAAACAATTATGTTCATAATTTTATAGCATTAAGGTGACTTACGCTCGTACAATAATTCATTCATATTTGAAAATCAAATTAAACAATGATGTTTTTAGGTATGGGTGTATGTTCCTGTGCATGAATGGTGTTTTTTTGTTTTCATTTGTTTTTGTTTTTTATGTATGCGTACTTAAAATTACATCTATTTATAGATACAATACCAGAGTAGAACAATCCTTACTGCTTTGTGGATCTCATTTTGCAAAAGGAATTTTCCAAGTTTAGAGAAGTCGAACAGAAAAAAAATCAACAATGCGTATATGCCATTTATAGTCATATACATGTGAATAAGTAAATTATAAGGAAAATAGGCCAATAGTTATAGTAACTCACAAGACAATTTAACGGAAATTATTATGTATTTAACTCTACTTCTTTAGATTTATTTAGTTTATATTGCATTTTTTTAGAGAGTTTTCTTGAAATTGCGTAAATAAATGTAATTATTAGGAAGGCTCAAATTATTGAATCTTGATTACATCAAAATAATCTCAACATCGCTTTAACAGCCTTTTGGCGGTTTCACAGCGTGATTCGCAATAGAATTGACAGGAACGCAGACTGACATCTTAGAACTCAAACTAAATTATGATAAATAATGTTTTTATTTTTATTTTATTTTTAACTTCAATTTGAAGATGCACATTTATGCATATCTGTGTAAATATGTACGCATGTTTGTTCCTTGCAATTTCCCAAATGTTAAACTGTACTGCTAAAAAATTAAAAAAAGTTCAACAAAAGTGAGCTTAAAACTTCTGTTATACTATTGTGAACGACTTGAAGAGTTATAGATTTAAAAATGTTAAACACATATATAGGTATGTATTTACGATGAGCGAATTTTACTGGTAACTCACTACAAAAACCCACTGCTTTATGCGTATTAAACATTAAATTTCGCTGCCTATAGTTCAAAATTTGTAGTTGTAAACTAAAAATGCCTTAAAGTGCTCACTAATTATTGAATTGCCTAATCGCTGAACTCTGTTTGAAATACCTATAAAGCGTTTAAATATGAGCGGCAGTTAAATTCCAGTTGAAAAAAAATGAAAAAAGAGACTGCAAAAGCGGGCTTTAAAATAATGTAAAACAAAAATATTTAACAGATTTACATTAATTAATTGCAAAAATACACAAGACGCATTATGGTAGAAATTTTCTATAATTTCTCAACTAAAAATTTTGTAATGGGCATAATTCTTAAAAAGTTTATATTTTGTTCAATACTCTGAAACCAATTACGTTTTTTATTTGAACAATGTAAATATTAATGAACGAATAAGCGTGTTTATATTCCTATTAAGAAATACTTGATTTACTTATATACATAAGCAAATACTTGTTTAAGATTTAAAGTTTTAACCAAATACTCTGACGGATGCTGTTGAATAAGTCATTGTTTTTCGCTGTTTTTTTTTTACTTGTTTCTTTTTTTCTCATTTAAACTAAGTAACTACATTAATATGCTGCCTGTATCTGTACTAAGTGCTAAGTGTAGGTCAATATGTTCATGATGATTGACAACGGCGACGCATCGACGAGTAGCTCCTTGTTTATTACATTTGTATGTATAAACGTTTCTTAGATGTGTTCTTTATTCTAAAATCGCTGTTTTTTTTTGTTTAAATATTGAATTACATCTTCGCTTTGCTGCTGATCGGCGTCGTTAAAATATAAGATCGGAAAAACTATTACAGGAATTTGTATGGGATTGAGTTTTGGTTCTATGCGCGTATTTTTTATCTTCAGGTCAATTTACGGTTCCAATAATTCACTATTGACTTTTATTTATTTATAAGGTTTTTTTTCTTTCACAATGCTTGCTTAATGAGTCCTCTCCTAATTGTTGGCGCTTTTGAACTATTGGACCTCTGATGGCTCTGGTTTGTTTGAAGCAGAGGAAAGATGGTTATTAGGGTCTGGTGCATTCAGGGGCTGCAAATAGATGGAGAAAAAGAAAGAAATATTATAGGTACATATTCAAGTGCTAATGATTTCAGGTAAAAAAAAAAATCTATCGATATAAATATATGAAAGTACAATGCAAATATACCAAAACAATGCATGACGATAAAGGACATTAATAGAAGAGAAGAAAATTATTTAATGCAGTGATCTATGTGCATATGTAGATTAGTGGCGTAGAGTTTCAACGACATTTCATATTCCAGTTGCAATACATACATACATACCCTCTACTTCTATTCCATCTAATATTTTCATATTTTTTTTTTTTTAAGAACCGAAGTTCAACTAATATTTGAAGAAAGATGGCGAAAAAATGAACCTTGTATATTTGACCTTTGTTTAGGTCAAAGTCCTTGTGCATTAAGAGAATTTAATGAAGTAGATAAAAAAAAAAAAACATAATGTAGACAAACCAAAAAACAGGTTCAAACAAATTACAGAAGTTCCATTGGGAGGTCAGAAGAAGGTGGTGATAATGCCATCATAAGGAAGTTTATGAAGCGTTCTAACTGCTTCAATGGGCATCTGCATGTAATTTCTTCCATATATCGTATGAACAAAATCTAGTTTAATACGGAAGAAGATGCGCAACACTCTGGACAAAAAATTCTAAAAATTCAACGGCAATTTTTAAGGACTTGAAACTGAAATCAAATTGTATGGGCTACAAAACTACACGAAAATTTTCTTTTGTGCAAGCTTTAAAACTTTTATTAGTGTGGTTTCCGTTGTAGATCCAGATATATTTTAAATGAAATTTATTAAAAATAAATAAATAAGCACAAGTTGCGAACAATATCACTTCGTATTTTGCTAGATACTATCTTATTAACCACAGCCTTAATTCTGAGTTCGCATTTACATCTGATTTATGTATGTATATATTAAAAAGCTTGGTCGTCCCGAATCCATGCGATTAAGCTTAAGTATGAAAAAAAGAAACAATTAAAACGTTCTTGACCTGCCACAACAGTTATAAAAACCCTCATAACCTTGCAAAAATATGTTCCAAGACGCTGAGTATCCGTGTGTATGTCATACTGGTGTTCGTTTCTTTCCGATAATTAGTCTGTTCTTTTGCTAACCCGCGGGCGCCCGAAAGTGCGAAAATAGGTTTTATGTGTTCCCGTGGTTTTGGGCAGGTTATGCACTTTTGTGAGAACATTCCGTACTTACGCTCATTTGCCCGAAAATGTAAAAAAAAAACTAATGTTGCAAAATATGTATGTTTGATATTGCACTCAACCCCGTAAAATGCGTTTTTGGTTTCTCTACTTATCATTGTCTAGCTCATGTATATCATAATATTGTCGTTTTAAAAAGTATCTGACTCTTCTTCCGTATAACGCATGAACAAAAATTATTTTTGTATGGAAGAAAATGCGCAACACTATACTAAAATTGAATGGGCTACCAAAATGCTTACTCAAACTGTTTCTACGAAATCTATTATCTTGTTCGCTGCTGTACATACAGTTAACGTACGTAGTATATAAAGAAAAATAAGATCAGTTTTTAATTTTTGGTGACTATTTCCTATTTGTCTGGCAAATAATCATGATTACTTTTTATATCTAATTATAATTAATTAATAATGATAAGGGCCGAAAAGTTTAAGCTTTTGCTTGGAATTGCTTGTTCAGGGTTTCCAAGCTTAATTTTGACGAGCATGCCTATTTTGCTTATTTCAATGTATAGGGTTAAGTACGGACCCTTTAAGTAAACGGTCAAGAAATAAATTGTTATTATTTCGTGTGTGCGTGAATAGTAGTATCCGAGGAGTTTTGGCATATGATATTTTACAGCCTGCTGTCTCACTTTTTCCTTAAGAAATAATGGAACGGGCATACATTTACGTCAAAAACCGATAATACAAATGCTTTTAGACATAGCTTTAGACATAGTTTTATTTTTAACCCAACTTTTAAATATAAAGTGAGCTTTAAAGTTAAAGGTTACTTCAGAAAACGGCCCTTAGTAGTTGTACGCTAGCAAAAACCCAATACAAACGAACACAATTTGTTATAACCCCTCCTACACACATACATACATAGTTTGAAGAAAGTGTTTTGACGCCATTAAATTTTTCACCCTTGGCACGTCCTAGTCAACTGATTAAGTTAAGGGACTATTTGACCAGTTTTGGCTATTTTCATAAAGAAATTAACGGTACTCTTAAATTTGTATATGAGAAATAAATTCGGTTTTGTTTTTTTGTTAAACATTACTTGTTTTTTGTCTATTTAATGTTTATTATTTTGTTTATAAAAGTCTAGTAGCACGTTCCATAACCACATAAATCTAAATTTCAAATTTCGTACAAAAATTATAATTCAGCAAACTTAATATTATATTATATTACATTATACTATATATATATATATTATATTTCATTCAGAATTAAAAAGAAATAGGTATGCAGTTTTAGAGCCCATTAAATTTTTGTAGTGCATTGATGTGCAAATTTCAAGACACTAGGAGATCGCTTTGACTTTTCCTAATTATTTTGGCTGACGGTGTTGTACATTTTCTTCCATATAAACAGGTCTGGGCGACGACGACTGTGCAGTACCCTCGGGATAACGTCGCGTAATCGTAAACACGAAATTGAAGGCGAAAATTAAGCGCAAATTAATCACTGTTTCCTAATGAATCGTATAAAATTCATTACGCTAAATAACATTTCATTTTCGCCTTCAATCTCGGGTGTACGAACAGGCGACGCTACCACAAGGGTACTGCGCAGTTGGCGTCGCCCAGTCCTCCATATAGAGTATGCTCGGCAATTACATACTTCTAGAAAAGTTTGTTGAATTTTAATAATTCTTGTACGAAGTTTGAGCTTTGGATTTACATATGTGATGCTGGTTATGTAAATAAACAACAAAAAAAAATTGCCAAAAATAGCCAAACCACAAGTGTATGTATGCATAAGACTTTACAACAATATGAACACTTTTAGATCTGGTTGCAAATCTCGAGTTTGGCAAAGCAACAATTTATATGCCGTCAAAATCCTCTCCAAGTCAGCTTTCCAACTAGGAAGGATTATTACAAACATTTTTTCCCGACCCAGCCTAATGTACATACATTTAATTGCATTTATAATACAATACAATTTTATAATGCATACATACATACATACATACATACAGAACAAACAATTCTTCAACAAAGAAACTAACCCATCGATTCTCGATCAAACAAGAACCAAACCAACATCAACGGTTCAAGCTATGTAGCTAACGGCACTTCGTTAAAGTGTAGTCATCAATTTACCTTCCAATTTAATATACTACATATCGCTCATTTACTTCAATCGTGTCATAACTCAAAAAGGGATAACTCGAAAAAACAGCTTTAAAGGTTTTGAATTTACGGCTTCGTATATTTCCGCGACCGCGTAGGACAATAGGAGCAGGGATCGGAAACTCGGCCTTTCCGACCTCGCCCAACAGTTCGTCTATAGCGTGGAGCGGAAACTAGGACTTTCCGCCTGCCTCACTTACAAAGTAACGACTACGGGAACATGGATCGGAAGCTCGGCCTTTCCGACCATGATCAACGGCCTGTAAACAGGGCGGAGCGGAAACTAGGTCTTTCCGCCCGCCGCATACAAAAGTAGACTGGAGACAAGGCCTCGCCAGCTACCAAATTGCTATTGAATATCATTGTTATCTTTACAAGTTAATATTTATAATTATCTCACTCTGTAATGTATCACACATACTTAAATATTCTAAATCTTTTTATCTCAACTGTCTGTAAGAAAACATTTTTCTGTAGACTAAAATAAATAAATAAATAAATAAATATCGTCCTTATAAAGTACAAAACCGCGTATCGTCGTTCTGCAAAACCGCGTAACTGATATTTTTTGCCAAAAATTGGATTTGCTCAAATAAGCTCAAGTATTATCCATTCGTCCTGAAATATACCAGCCAGAAATGCGATTGCTTTATAAATAAGAGAACGTTTTTATATATGAATGTTTTTACTCCCTAGAAAATAATTTATGCTACCTCACATATGCGGTTTTGCATTTTGTTGATATGCGGTTTTGTACTTGAACCGACAATATACTCCCATGGTAAAATTTAATAAATATTTTGTTCTAGTGAGATACTTGTAATCTATACAGCTATGAAATTTTTACACAACATAGAAAAGGTAGCGGTAATTTCTACATACTTAACTCAATATTTGCAGTTTTGGGATTATGACACTAATTAAGTAAATAAGCGATATACATATATGTATGTATGTACATACAATAAATTTTAAATTCACAAATTCCTAAAAACAACAAGGACATCATAACAGAAAAATTAAACATGGAAAAATGTGTAAATGATAAAAACATAAAGTAATGAGACTTATTTACGATCGTTTGGACGCAGATATAACCAACAATATACAGACGTACATACGTTAGTATGTACATATGTATGTTTGTAAATCAAAACAACGCTAGCAGCAACTAAAATTGCAGCAAACAACATTAACAATGAACACCAATAACAACAACAACAACAACAACAACAACAACAACAACAGCAATAAATATCTATACCTACCGATTTACTACTCACAAGTCCATGTGGTAATCCAACTTGCGGCGGTATATGCACCGGCGGCACCGTAGGAACTGGCGACGGATTTACTACCGATGGCGGTGGTGGAGCGACTAGTGAGCTGCCAGCTGCACTGTGCGGTACATCGTGTGTAGTGCTGTGGGCCTGTTGCAGTCCGCCCGCTGAATAATATCCGCCATTTAGTCCTGTTTGTTTGTATATATTTTTAGCACATAGCATAGTTACATCATTAATATATGAATGTTTGCTTCAGTTTTAACTACAATTTTATATTTACTATCTAACGCTGCTTCGCATTTTTTGATACCAGTTATTGGAATTTCAAAATTTTTCGCAATAAAAAAAAATATATAAAATCAAGTCTATTCTATTTCTAAATTTCTGTAACCTAACGCAAGTCCCTCCAGTGACAGAAAATGTATATTGAAGAGTTTAATTTAATAGTTTTATAATGCATTCATACACACGGACACACTTGCATACTGCATTTCAAATGTTCGAAGTTATATACACCAATGTCCTAGCACAAAACTATTTACATACATATGTAGGTACGTATCCATAAGGAAATCACAATATTTAAAACTTGTTTTGGATTTCAATTTATCAAAGCCTACATAGTGAGTATCTACACTGAAAATGTGTAACTGGTAAAGTCTACCTAGGGACTGTGTCAATTGAGGAAATGTTGACGGATCGAACTAAAAATTTGTCATTTGGCGTGGTGAATACGAACTTGACAGGTTCAATAATAATAAAAAAGGTAAAATCAAAATGGAAGCTAAAAAAGCGTACGTTACTTGCAAATTATAAAATAAATATAAATTTTAACAATTTCAGCAACACACAAAAATAGAGCTTTCGGGTTAACAATTGTTTGGTTTTTCACCTATCAAAATTTTACTTTGCATTTGGCACAAAAAAAAATTCAGTTCCGTCACACCACGGAGAAAAAAGTTACCGTTTGACACATAGCCTTAGAGCAAAATTTAGTTATACATACTAAAAGATAATAACTCTCGAGGGAAAGTTACAATAACTAAATTTCTTCGAATTTCACATCATTCGCTCTTATTATAGAGCAAGCTATCCAAAAAAGTAACAATTTGCAAGTTTCACAAGTTAAAACAACTTACCTACACTGGCGGTCAAAAGTGGATGAATGGTGTTTTGTTTTTAATATTTACAACATTTTTCAAGCTACAATTTTTTTTTTATAAAAATATGGTCCATGCTTTAACAAAAACCATATAAACAACACTTTCAAACTTTATACAGAGTTTAGAAAAATTCCACCAATTTTTATCTAAATTTCGAGCATTTAACCAGAATTTAATATAATTTAAATAAATAGGGAAATTTAGGAAAACAGGCGTTGACTTTTTTATTTTTTTTTTGCATATTGGAAAAAAGGTGCAAAACACCGTCAACAAAAAGAAATATTATATACTAAAAATCAAGCGATTTTCCAGCCGCTCAAAACTTGCACTTATTTTACTCAAATTTTATAAGGCTGTTAATTTAATAAACATTTTGGGTAGAAGCTTGAAATTTAGATAAGGATTTGTGGAATTTTTCGAAATTCTGTATAAAATTTTAAAGTGCGATTTTTATGGTTTTTGCTAAAGCAAAGTGTATCTCGGATAAGTGCTTTACCGATGTTTGCCAACTTCGTTGAATTATTTCTTTAGCTCTAACTGAGCATATTGTCGAAAATATTTGTAAACGAGAAAAAAACAACTCTGCTTATTATGTAAGGTTAGTTTACAGAAAGATGAGAAAGCGATGTTTAATACGTAAGTTCCGGGTTCTACAGATTCTTTTTTTAAAGGAAAGGTGGTCCCATACTAATTTGGTTTAGATCCGATCATTGGATTAAAGGTGCTCTTAAATTTTTATATGAGAATTGAAGTCGGTTCTGTTTTTTTGCTTAAAAATTACTTGTTTTCTAATTTTTTTTTATTTCACTAATGTAATGGTTATTAAAAATATCTTCATCATTATCATCAATATTAATCATTAATGATAATGATCATTATTGTTATCATTAAGATGGATCATCAAATGTAATTTTCAAAAAAAATAAATAAAAAAATTAATAAATATTAAACTTGATCGATTTGGGTACAATTTAAAGCGGTCCAATGTAGGGTTGTCCTTAACCCAACGCAAAAAGAATATTCAAACAAAAAAGTTATGCGCGAACAAATATATATGTATGTACAAAAAATATGTATATATGTATGACGCATAGATAACTTCCTACTTTTTTAAGTCGGTTATAAATAGGGAATCTATGATTTTTAACGAGCGCAACGAATATAAAAAAGTTGCTAACACTGAATCCATTTGGAATCGTTTACAATGTCAGCTTGGAGTTGAGTGTACTTGTTTTGAAATGTTTTTCGTTTGTAGCAGCATTTAAATTCCGCAAAAAGTTTTTGGGGAATAATGCTGGAGTGACCGTCCTTGACCAGATATAAATCTGGGTCGTTTTGGTTACGTAGACCAGACTGTAGTGGAAGGGAAATGTTATTTTATTGTGTCAATATCAACTGGAGTGAGGTTACGCGATTTTGGCGATTTCGAACTTCAAATGCAACGAAAACCTCTCTACAAACTGATATGTAAAAATGTCACTCCTAGTTGACATTGTACGTAAACGTACCTTTCATGATTCGAAATCAACTGTTTCTGAATATTTAATGGTCTCCAAGAAGGAAACTTGGCAGCACTGGATAGATTTCGAGGAATTTCGTCGTCTTCTTATTTCAATTGTACAATTTATGTAGTATAATTTACGAGTTACGAAATGAGGCTGATTATTTCAGTTAAGGATTGCCTAAAATAAATTTGTCTGCCGTACTGTAACACTGAAATATGTATTCAAATTAAATTGAAGGACAAGATAAAAAGTTTAAAGAAAAATCAGAGATTGAAAATAACCCACAACAGAGAACATGTGGTTTATTTTTTGTAGATGTGTGCTCTCGCTCAGTGGGAAAGGGTTCTTTGCATATAATTTCCGTTGCTGTTGGTCTCCGACACTTATCGCTGGGAGAGAAAAAATAGGTGTTAGATTAATTTTTTGGCTTAACCTAACTCAAAATATACTAAAATATAATAGCACCTTTACCAAAATTTAATCCTGCTTATACTGGTATATGTATATGTACGAAATAAAAATTTAATACAATAAAATAAAATATAATAAAATTGCTTATTTTCAGTGTATCATGTTATGAGTGTGCACGCTTTCTTCTGTGTTATAAATAAATGACAATTTAAGCAGTTTATAAATAACCCACAGCAGAAAACACAAAAAAGAGCATACATAGAGATTTGGCACGGTGAGAAACACTCTTTGCTTGAGATATTTGTGTTTCGTGCCAGTGAGAAACACAATAAAAAATAAGTGGAGAGGGTTATTTTCGATCTCTGAGAAAAATTGCTGTAACAAATTTTTTGCGAGATTCCTGTGCTCCATAATGGTCAACGAGAAGCACAACTTAGCAGATTTTTATCATCTTCCAGGACAAGAATTTCATTCAGCCGATTCTCGTGAAAATACCGCTGAAAACCTGAAATCAAAAATGTTACGAAATGTCGAAGGATATCCGTGCCTGTACTTGTGGTAAAAAAAAACCAGCTCATTTCTGAGGTCGATGACAATCAACAGTGGTTACTGACGAGATATTTTTCATTCTTACGCTTAACGTTCGCTTACGTATTCACTTTGTTTTGGCTTTACCTTGGCTTTAAAGGGAAACGAAGGTAACAAAAGTGTAGCCAAGGACCTTTGCTACAAATTAAAACCTTTTATTAATAATAATAGCCCTTGCCTATATACGAGCACCACTTTATGTGATTTTGTTGTTAATTCTAAAAATAAAATACTTCTGTTTTTGAAAATCGGACAACTGGTTTAAAACATTTCATTACGTCTAGCGGATAATTTTATTCGGCGCAGTGGTTATCAAGCAAGTGTGCCCGGACTGCACGGTACAATCAATTCCTGGGAAAATTTTACATAACGTGCAATCCGCACAAGTAAATGTTTTGGTATATGTCGTGATGGACGGGGCACGGTGCATGTAACAGGCAGCGTGTAAAATATACTCCAGCTGCCATCAGACATAGCACAAATTTAGCGTGGTATATGTCGTTGGGCGCCACGACCAAAGCTAACAGCCTCATTGCGTACGTCGTAAATTAGACTAAAATGCACGACTCGACAACATTGGCATTGGCATAGCCTATTGTCGTGCTGAAATAAGTATACGACGAAAACTGTCGAAAACTATCCAGTGCTATCATGTTTTCCCATTTTAATACACCAGTCGAAATGAATTTTTAGGCAATGCCATGCTCTCTTTGATACGACTCGACTCTCGAAAAACGACTTGCATTCGACACGACACTCGCAATGATGCTGTAAATTCTACAACCTCGGCGTCATTTGTTCGCACGCCCCGACGGAGGAGAAGGACAACACCTCCGACAACAGAGAGAGGCTGATCGATTTCGCCTCTCTTCATCGACCGGATATGTATAAATGAGCAATGGAAATCCATCTCCCAATCTCTTCGTGCGGCAGCGGAAAGGGGTGTTTGGACTCCACCACCCACGCAGGAACAACTGGTATGACGAAGAGTGCGTGTGGATGCTGCAGATAAATACGCAGCATACAAAGCCACCCTGCACTCAATAGCTATGCGAGCGGCAGTTGAACGATACTTTGAGATGAGAAGTCTTTTTAAAAGAAAGAAACTTGAGGCAGAAAGGCGTGAGTGCGATGAGCATCGGCCCTATGCTGAATATCGTCGTCAGTAAAAGTGACGACACGGCCATCGTCAACCATATTACTGATCGACGATGACGGCGACGATGACGTTGACGATATTCAGCATAGGGCCGCTTGAGATGCTGTCAGACAAGAATACGGCTCGAAAATTCTACCAGAAAATAAAGTTTTTAGACCGGGGCCAGCTCCTGCAAAGATGAAGAATGAAATCTGGTAACAGATGTTCACTTGAGATATGCAGGGAACACTTTTCAACGCTTTTTAATGGCGACCCAGGTGGAGCGTTTGATGACCAAGACGAAGTGAGAATAGCACTAAGGCGGCTTAAAACCAACAAGTCCCTCGTAGCCAACGGTATACCGGCTGAGCTGCTCAAAGTAG